GCCTCCCAAGTAGCTGGGACTACAGGCGCCCACCACAACGCCAGGCCATTTTTTGGTTGCAGCCATCACTGTTGTTTGGCGGGCCCGGGCTAGGGATTCGAACCTGCCACCTTAGGTGTATGTGGCTGGCGCCTTAGCCGCTTGAGCCACAGGCACCGAGCCTACACTTGAATTTCTATTCTAATTTTTTTTTTTTTTGAGACAGTGTCTTATTATGTCACCCTCGGTAGAGTGCCGTGGTATCACAGTTCACAGTAATCTCAAATTCTTAGGCTTAAGCAATTCTGTTGCCTCAGCATCCCAAGTAGCTGGGACTACAGTGCCCACCACAACACCCAGGTATTTTTTTGTTGTAGCTGTCACTGTTTTTTGGCAGACCCAGGCCGGGTTCAAACACACCAGCCCCAGTGTATGTGGCCACCGCCCTCGCCCCCTGAGCTATAGATGCCAAGCCTATTCAAATATTTTTAAGTAAACAAGAAAAATTAATTTTCTGAGGGGCACTTATTAGATGTACTTAATTTAAAAGCTGATGTTTTTGACATTAAAGAATGATGACAACAAATCACAAGAGAGAGTTCTAATGCTGAAGAACAGAATTACTTCTCAAGACTTCTCCCCCTATAGAAATGGTGCATATTTGATGAGTAGCCCTGGAATTGGGTGGAGGAATGCTAGGACACAACTCTCCTAGTACCTAACTAAGCCCCAGATACTCGGTAACTTTTACTTACTTAGTAATTTCCTCTTGGTTTGGTAATACTTTTTCCTAGTAGATTAGGGAAAAATACTTATCTACTTATGAAAATCATAATTGAAAATATATACATGCAAAAGAAAAATCAAAACAACATTTAAGTGTAAAAATATGCAAAAAATTTGTGAGATGGAAATTAGGGGTTAATGTTAACTATTCAAAGGCAATAAGACAAAATGTAAAAGAAGTCTCAATGAAAGAAAAAAAGAACGGCTCAAGAAAAAGGTGAAGAAGTCCTTCCGCTTCCCTTCCTAAGCAACTCAACCCTAAAGCAGAACATGGGAGGCCTCTCTGCTAAGAGGGGAAGAGAGCCACATTGGCCAGAGGGAGGTATCAGAGCTCTTGTGAGGTTATGTGGACTCAGCCAGGGGAGGTGGCTCACATCTATAATCCTAGCACTCTGGAAGGCTGAGGGGGGTGGATTGCTTAGCTTCAGAGTTCAAGATTAGTTTGAGCAAGAGCGAGATTCAATCTCTACTAAAAATAGAAAAATTAGCCAGCTATGGTGGCACATGCTTGTAGTCCCAGCTAGCTACACAAGCGGCTGAGGCAAGAGGATTGCTTGAGCCCAGGAATTGAGGTTGCTGTGAGCTATGACAATGTCATGGCACTCTAGCCTGGAATAAAAGAGTGAGACTCTGTCTCTAAAACTTAAAAAAAAAAAAAAAAAGGTAAGGCAGACATCTAAGTGAAAGGGGTGGCCTACTGTGAGGTTGCTAGAGTCCAAATGTGGCAAGGAAACTGTATATGTGTGAGAGTGACCTGGTTTGGGGTAACAGAGCCCAGGAAGCATAGAGGGGTAGCCTGGTGCATAGCATCAGAGCTAGAGTAGGTTGAGGAGGGTGTCTATAGTATGAAACCATCTGGCACAAAATATCAGAGCCAGGAAATGAGAAGGGCATTCATGTAGCAGTTGACCTAGTGATAGCATTGAGAGCTCAAACAGGTAGATGGAATCCTTTGGAGAGGTGGTCTAGTGGAATACAGTAACCCAAATGATACAGGAGGGAATCCACATGGGGGTCAACCTGGTATGGAGAATTATAGACTAAGCAGACTGAGAAGGGTATTTATTTTGATAGTATAAGAAAAGTGACTATAGGCTTGGCGCCCATCGCTTAGGGATTAGGGTGCTGTCCACATACACCGAGGCTGGTGGGTTTGAATCTGGCCTGGGCCTGCTAAACAACAATGACAACTGCAACAAAGAAATAGCCAGGCATAGTGGCAGGCACCTGTAGCCTCAGCTACTTGGCAGGCTGAGGAAAGAGAATTACTTAAGCCCAAGAGTTTGACGTTGCTGTGAGCTGTGACACCACAGCTGAGGGCGACATAGTGAGACTCTGTCTCAAAAAAAAACAAATAAATAAAACTGACTATAATCAACTGTAAGTTAAAATATGGTATACTTTAAAATACCCAATGTTTGGGCAGCGCCTGTGCTCAGCGGGTAGGGTGCCAGCCCCATATACTGAGGGTCATGGGTTCAAACCCAGCCCTGGCCAAATTGCAACAAAAAAACAGCCAGTGCCTATAGTCCCAGCTACTTGGGAGGTTAAGGTAAGAGAATCGCCTAAGCCCAGGAGTTGGAAGTTGCTGTGAGCTGTGATGCCATATCACTCTACACAGGGCAACAGCTTGAGGCTCTGTCTCAAAAAATAAATAAATAAATAAATAAATAAGAGTGGCACTCATGCAGAACGGCAGCCAGATATGGAGGGTCAGAGCCCAGGATCTGCACAGGGGGACAGGGTTGCAGCAGAGGTGGGAGATCAATGGCATTGATCAAATCAGTAACCAAGAATAATGGGAGGCAGTTTCTGAGTCAGAGAAAAGAATTACAAATATAAAAAAGGAGAAAACTAGAATGAATCCTTTTGTGCTGCACTGGAATTGGGGGGTACTGGTGTGATTTTATAGGATTTTCAATATATAGTGGAACCTTCATAGTTGACCACCTCCCTACAATGACATTAAGTTGACCTAATTTTCATAGACCAGATATAAACCACATGTACACAATAGTACAGTAGGCCTAGTTATTTCTGTTGACCACCTTAATACCTCCACATACACCTCTGTATGTTGACCAGTTTGTTACAGTCCCTTGGGTGGTCAACTTATAGAGGTTCTACTATATACAGCTATAGGAATAAAATACACGTATATTATATGTACGTATATATATATATGCATTTACATAAATATATACCACGTATCCCCTAGCTCTGTCCACTTGAGAGTGTCAAAAAGCAATAATACACCAAGCACCCAGATCTTGTCTTCTAAATCCTATTCAAAATTCAAGGGTCTTTGGAAAAATACCTATTCTAAGGCTAGGGAAGAAAAAATACAAGATAATCTTGGAATCCAAGAGAACTGAAAACATCATGTCCACACAAAGACTTTTATACAAATGTTCATAACAGCATTATTCATAATAGCCAAAAAGTAGAAACCATAAAATTTCCATCAAATGAAGAAACAAAATATGGCATATTCATACAATGGAATGTTATTCAGCAAAAAAAGAATGAAGTACAGGGGATCCCAACTTAACAATAGTTCAGGTTGGGTGGCACCTGTGGCTCAGTGAGTAGGGCTCCAGCCTCATATACTGAGGGTAGTGGGTTCTGCCCCAGCCAAACTGCAACAAAAAATAGCCAGGTGTTGTGGCAGGCATCTGTAGCCCCAGCTACTCAGGAGACTGAGGCAAGAGAATTGCCTAAGCCCAAGAGTTGCAGGTTGCTATGATCTGTGATGCTATAGCACTCTATCAAGGGCGACAAAGTGAGACTCTGTCTCAAAACAAAACAAAAAACAATAATTTAACTTATAATTTTCACCCTTATGATGGTACAAGAACAATACACATACTGTATGCTCCTCAACTTACAATAGGGTTACTGCCAGATCTGCCAGATAAACCCACTTAAGTTGAAAATATAAAAAATGCACTTTATTTATTTATTTATTTTTGAGACAGATTCTCACTCTGTTGCCCTGAGCAGAGTGCTGTGGCATCACAGCTCACAAAACCTCAAACTCTTAGGTTCAAGTGATCCTCTTGCCTCAGCCTCCTGAGTAGCTGGGAATGCAGGCATCCACCACAATACCTGGCTAGCTTTTCTATTTGTTTAGTAGAGACAGGGTTTCACTCTTGCTTAGGCTGGTCTCCAACTCATGAGCTCAAGCAATCCACCTGCTTCAGCCTCCCAGAGTGCTATGGATCACAGCCATGAGCCACTGTGCCTGACCCAAAAAGATATTTTAAACTTAAGATATTTTCAACCTGTGCCAAAAGAATGGTGACTCATGCTGTAATTCCAGCACTCTGGGAGGCTGAGGCAGGAGGATCACTTGAGGCCAGGAATTTTGAGACTAGCCTGGGTAACAAAAAAATGTTTGCCCCCCAAATTACTTTAATTATCCAAGTGTGGTAGCTAGGAGTCCTAGCTACTCAGGAGGCTGAGGCAAGAGGCTCACTTTAACCCAGCTGTTAGAGGTTCCAGTAAACTATGATCACCCCACTGCACTCCACCTCATCAAGACATAATCCCATTTAATTGTAGGTTGACAAACATCTGTAGTAACTCATGACACTATACAGATGAGCCTTAAAAACAAGCTGAGTGAAGGAAGGAAGACAC